TAGGAGGAAAAATTTTTTCACACGGCCGGGGCCTTTTTTTTTTTTTTTTTTTTTTTTTTTTACCCAAGGTAGCAAGAGTAGAATTCTTCCTGGAGAAAACATTTCGTACTTGACAAGAACTGAAGAGCAGAACCCTGATAGGTCCCTCCCATGGCAGCATTTGTCAGAGTAGTAGCCATGAAACAAGAAAAAAAATTAGCTACAAATGAATCGGTTTGAAGAACTTTTTCACCTCTCTCATTCGTTGGCTGGACCAACCACCAGATGATTTCAGTATGACGGAAATTACTCTAAAATTAAAGAAAGGAGAAATCAGGATGGTTTTGAATAAGGATATTAGAGGAAATTTAGTTAGTAGTAAATAAGTAAGTTTCTTTCTCTTAGTCTTTTCCCTGTTCCACTGTTACTTTCACACACAACAACGTGACAAAGTAATCTACAGACTACTAAAGAGTGACTTCGATAGCTGGACATCTGTCAAAATGCAACTGTTTTGCGTCGTCTCCCTTCGCCAATTAGCTGTTCTTGAGGCTATGACAGGTAGCAGAAGCTGGAATCAAACCGACGACCTTCTGACTGCAATCCAGCAACACTAAAAACTGACAAACTTCTACAGCTTTCCAGGTTTGTGTACAAAACTGTCCAACATATGTTTTTAATTCATGACTTGTACGAAGTTTGACTTTAGCTTCACCACCATTGCTAAGCTACTAGCTCTTGCTAAACTAATTAAACACTTAAAATTGCAGCCGAATTCTTCCTCCAATACAAACATTTTTTGCAAGCACGTTTTATGACAGCTTAACATTCACTAAATGTATTTCTTGATAAGAAAAAAAAAAAACATATCAGCCTTACCTACTACCCATTACAGATGAGGATTAAGCCACCATTTTTAGCTACATTCTAATCAGAAAGGATTAGCTGGCTAAGATTTATTTTAACGATTTTAATGACTGATGCTTTCAAATGAGATTTTTTCTTTTTTGCAGAAATAGCTGCAACAGTTTTTGTTAACAAGGACAACAAATGAGTTACAACGAAAACACTGAGCCATAACTATGTATAGGGTAGTAGCTTCTTCACCAACTGTTTCCTTGTTTGTTTGTTTTTTCGATCATAGCTAAAAGATCTTCTTTTGTCCATATATCAGCTGTGAATGATTCAGAAACACCAAAAAGGTAAATTTATTTTATTTTATTTTTACAGTGGAGGGTCACAATTACATTTTGACCTGCAAATTGCATGTCGCCTTTAATAGCTTGTCGCTTGATTTTGGGCCGCCTTTGTGGTTTTTACTAGGGGGCTAAAAGGGGGCTCTCTGGCTGTATCTGGTAGTAGCCATCTGTTTATTATTTAGCCACTGCCTTGCAAGTGCTGCCTGACTGCATTAGGGGAGCAAGAGGTGTGTGTGTGTGTGTGTGCGTGTGTGCAGGGGAACGGCACTACCTGGCCCTGGTAGGGTCTTTACCGGTCTCCGTGGGCCCATTAAAATCCTGTTAACTTTGATAATCCCTGGCAAGAACTTGGCCTCTGTGGACCACTGAACAGAAGAAGAATACTTTCAAGTGCCACTGCTTAAGAGGTCACAACATCTTGTTAAAGCTGTGTGCGGCGGTCGCCGAGGGTCTCCGAGAGAGGAAACAAAGGGCAACATGTCAAAACACCAAATATGATGTGATGTAAATGTTCCAGCTGGGAAATCCTTCCTCGCTCTGGTTGGTCGGGTTCTGTCGAGCTCCGTAATGCGTTCTCTCTACTTCGGTGTTACAGAGCCGCCTGCAAAAACAAAAAAATAAAAATATTCACACCCCTTGGAGCTTTCACATTTGGTTGGATTTCAACCACAACCTCCAGTGGGGTTTATTGAGGTTTCCAATTGATTCGTGCTTTTCAAAGTAAAAAAGAAAAACAGATGACAAGATGAAAATCTGAGGCAAGCTTTTTGTAAATAAAGGTTCAAGTGTGTGTAATTTAATCTCAGTGTGAATCCAGCTGGTCTGTGAAGGCTTCAGAGGTTTGCTAGAGAACAAACAGCATCATGAAGGAACATGGCAGGAACATCAGGGAGAAAGTTGTAAAGGTAAAAGCAGGGTTAGGTTTTCAAACAATATCTCAAGCTTTGTATATTATTTTCAGGAAGAAAAAAAAAAAAAAAAAAAAAAAAAAACATTGCACAAGTGGAACTCTACCCAGGAATGGTCTTCCACCTAAACCAGGGGTTTCAAAGTGGGGTCTGTGGGCCACTTCCAGGTACTACACTGTAAACAATTTGGTCAATTTAGATCACATGTAGTTGATCTAAATAATATAACTTTTGTCTAATCAGCAGATTAAGTGGTATTATTATTACTATAAAAAAGACAGAACAGTAAATATAAAAGGCATGGAAACTCAACAAGAGAAGTTATTTAAATGCATAAAATAGATTCATGTAATCTTCCAACCAGTATCTCTAAAATGGATGAGCAAATAATGAGACAGTTCAATTTTTAATCAGAGCTGGGGTTGGTTTATTGTCGTTCTTGGTTTTATTTATTCAACCGTCTGAAATGTTTCTTTGTGTGTGTTGTGTCAGGGTGTGTTGCACCTCTGATTTCTGTAGGAACCTGGCGACGCTTTCACGGTTTGATCCTGCGTCTGGTCGTTTGGTGACAGACTATTTAACCTTGTTGAACTAACTGTGATTAACCTAATTGTTCAAATTCACTCGTGACACCTGAGCCTGATCAGCCACCTCTGTTGACTAAAATCACAAAATCACTTGAACTCGTTTCACAACACGAAGCAGGGTGAAACAACGTGAAAAGCAACACATCATGGCCCAATCTAACTGAGAAAGAAAGGAAAAAACATACATTCATTGACATCTTTCAGTTTGGAAAGGGTTACAGCGTCCGGCCTCCCAAAATTATAGTGCAGAGAGTCCTTAAAACGCTCATCTTAGTGTTTATAATTTAAGAATAAGAAAGAAACTGGGTGAAAATCACATCCATGGAAGGGTGCCACGGTGAACATTTGCCTGAAAGAAAAATTTCGATGGTCCCCAAGACTTCATGGAAAGTACTCTTCTGTGGACTGAAGAGACAAAAAGCACATAAAACAAAGAGAATGAAAAGAGGCAATGTTTGTTTAAAGGACAGAAGAAACCACACTACTGTTAATGTTGATGATGAGGAAACAGAAAAGTTAGGCATCCAAATTCTGAGGAGCATAGACACAAAACATGTTACAAAAGTTTAAGAAAAACAGGTGTAAAATGGTTAATTTATCATTCCAATAAAAAGTAAATTGGTAAGAATATTAAATCAAATGGTTTTTGTTTCATGATTTCATCGTCTCACAGTGAAATATTTCTCTTCTGTTAACCACTTTGGACTCTGTCCTACCACCTAACTCACTGTATGATAAACATGGGTCCTCCTTCGTCTTGGTTTAGTCAAAGTTCCAAGTTATTGTAAGATTTTCATCATTTCTTTGACTGTAAGGGCAAGCAAGTAGCTATTTAATTATTACACCTTGTGGGTTTAATAGTCTAAAACATTATATCGAAACACATCTTGAAGTAAATGACAGTCTGCTGTGTTTCTCATTTTGAGTTGATACATACATAATTTATAAAACAGTAGGGAGTGGGGCTTTTAATATGCAGTAATGTATTAACTATTTTTCACCCAACCTCAATCCAACGTTGGCATTTTCTGAACTTTTCCTGTATCCAGCAATTTTCTTTTTCTTTCTCTCTCTTTTTTTTTTTTTTTTTTTTTTAATGCAAAGCATTTGCGCGTCCTCGCCACGGATGCAAATAAAAACTGAACAACTGTTAAAAAGCTTGGCTACGTTTCGTCTGGATTCCGCGGCGATTACATCAGCTAATGCGGCTCATCCAAAAAGCCTCTAAATGACCACATTTCACAGTGGGAGTAATTCAGGTTGGTTAAGCAGGGCACCCAGAGCAAACGTCTGTGCGGATGCTTACGTTGGCCCTAACAGGTGTTGTGAGGGGCTCCCAACATTAACACCAACACCTGGACCAAAGCCCCAGAGACCACATGCTGCTGGACACAATTAACCAGCCCTGTGGAGAAAAGACAGAGGAAAAAAAACAACAAAAAAACTGCCACTTTTAAAAGACCCATAAAAGGATAACTGTTTCTGCCCCACCACCACCACCTTCGTTCTGCCCTCCTGATAACATTTTATCACTTACTTCAAAGACTCTCTGAAGGATATTTCAAAGTGAGACGGGCGTTCTGAGACAGGACCGACTTTGCGACGGTAATTTCTCCTCTCTGTGTATGTAAAATCGAAATTCCTCGGCTCAAAGGGAAGCTGAGGACGCAACGAGCCAGAAACCACCAGCATGTGCGGAGAGATTCCTCGCCTCAATCTGGTGCCGATTACTGAGCATAGCAGATGGAAGAGGGGGTGTGTGTAAGGGGTTGGGGTCTTGGTGGGGGCGTAATGAGCGTCGTAGTGGCACTGCCCTCGATCTGGAGAGCGAGAAAGAGAGCCTCAATGGCCTGCAGAACAGAACTATCAGCACCCTTTCATGATCATCTACTGTAAAGAAGGCCTGATAATGCGAGAGGCGAAACTGGGATGGTTCATCTTTCATTGAGGCAACTGTGAGAGTGTGCTTTAACCGCAGAGGGCCGTTTAACATTCCTTCATAAATTGGCATCTGAAAGTTTAAAGTAAAAAAAAAAAGAACAAAAAAAAAACAAACTGCTTTTGTTTTCTGCAACACGTGTTCCCTCCTTTGATGCGGAGATTCCGATTGGTATCAAACCATTTAAAGCTCATTTAACATAAAACGGGAGATACGGCCTCGTAATCTGTCCAATGTGCGACTTGTTTAGGTCAAAAATAGGAGAGGACTCTGTTTTGTTGGCGTTAAATCTAATGTATGGGTTAATTAAAGAGGGCTCTGGGGTCAAGACAATAATGGCTTATGTCATTGACAACAATTCCCTCTTTTCAAATACATTGACACAAAGACATGATTAGTTGAACCTGACTAAGCAGTTGTCCCAAGGCTTTATCGGCAGGACCGGGGCCTCCGATTTCTCATCTCGAAGCCTCCATTGACGCGGGTTTTTTTTTTTTTTTTGCTCCGTCACATCTCATACCTCCAAACGTACACATCAGGAGCTAGCGTGTGTTCGCATCTTCCGGGATGGCTGCGAGGGTGGGTGACAGAAACGGAGTCACCGGTTTGCCCTTTGTTTTCACTGCCTTTTGCTTCTTTTTGCGCGTTTATGGTATAAAGCTAATCCTCCCACTCTCCAAGTGAAAAATGGCCCATTGATTGGACTGCTTGGTCATTAAAAGGCATATCTGAGCAGTGCGCCGTGACCATATGGGATCAAAGGTCGTCAAAGGGTTGTGTTCAAACCGAGGCCCGCTTCCTAAAAGAGCGCCGAGACTCCCTTTATGATCGCTTGTTACATTTAAGACTAACCCCGTTGGTCAGAAAGAGCAAGGCGCCTCCACGGGACCCGAGGTTTACAGGGAGTGAAAGGAAGAAGGTGGGAAGGCGACGACAGAATAGAGTAAGACAAGTGATGAGGGAAGGATGAGCAAAAGAAAGAAAGTGAGAGGACGAGAGAGAGAAGCCAATATGTGGTGGAAGATATCCTGAGTGTCACTGCAGCAACCCCCCCTACCCCACCCCTCTGCCTCCCACCCATTCCTCCCCACTTCTTCTCCCAGAAAATTAAATATTGATCAATCTCACAGGCCTACTAACAATGAAGGAGATAAAGAAGAGTATTAAAGGAAATAAATAAATATACACTTGTATCACCTGTCCAAGCTGTGCGGAGGGTGGAGGGTGGAGGTTGGCGGGGGGGGAGATTTCCAAGCCTGGGAAATGGAGGCCCATCCATCAGCCACACCCCAGACGTGGCAAAAGGTTCGCCCGTATAGGCTGTACGCAGACCGGGGTGTCTGCTTCATCGTGTCTGCCTCTTGACAGTGAGCAAACAGCGCCTCATCACCGATGGGCTTTATCAGGGGAAGTTTCTGAGATGGCCCAGCCTTTTAAATAATTTACAGGGAGCACATTTCTATAGCTTCCCTAATAAGGGATTTGTGCGCAGAAGTGTCCTTTTCTCTACCAAGCAGGAGCCTGAAACAGCAGGTTTTAATGAGAAACAAACACAGTTTGGAACGTGAGTTTACAGAACTCAATATCAGAAATGTTGCTACTAGTAGCTATTTGTGGTCCATTATTTGCTGATTCGCCTATTCGTGGATTTTTCTATGGAATGTATCTCCAAACTATTTACTGGAACTTTGCCTGTTCATGGATTTTTTGATAAAACATACTTAAAATATTCAAAAGAAAATGCATTGTGGGAAGCTGAAATACCAATATGCAAAGCTACCTGACACACTATCCTGGAGCGGCATTTATGTTCCTTGGTCCTGATTACCCATAACCCCAAATGCAAAAGTAAGAAATACTATAGCTTCAGCGGTGGAGCTAACACACTTTCCACTCTGCGTATTAAATTGTATTTATTGTTTTAAATATTAAAACAATAAATATTAAAACAAGTAGTTAAAGGTGTTTCAGAGGGTGCCTGAAATATTTGTTAATTTCAGCTACTCCCTAATGCCCTTGAATAATGGGAGTCCTCAGTATCCCAATTTTTTGCTACTCTTCTTTTGCAATAAGAGTCTTAAGATGAAACTTTAGCAAGCACATTAAACATGTATGCAAGTAGCTAAATTAACACAACTAAATTAGTGGGTAACCAGAACTGACCAGTTTTCAGCTCCGCTACAAATTCAAAATTAAAAAATCCAACTGTTTCCCTGATCAGTAAATGCACCATAGCACGTGATGCATTTCACCCGGACGCAGTGACACGACTGGCAGTGCTAGCACCTCAAAGAATGACTTCTTATTTGATACCTTGAAGTTTTTAGAATTCAATTCATTGTCTATTTGTTGCTTCCTGTCAGTCAGTGACATTGCTGGACACAACATCAAACATTCGGTCAGGCAAAGCAGCGTTTGATTTTTCTGACAGTGAGTGGATGCTTCACTGAGTGAAGAATACGTGACGCAGTTTTTCAGTACTGATGAGGTGCCTAAAAAATGAAGTCAGAGAAAATTCAAGAAGCTTCTACAACATACTGCTACGTGAATAAAGTCCACGTAGCATTCAAGGATGCAGGAGAGAGAACAAGTCTTAAAGCAGGAAACAGGAAGGCTGCACAGAGTACAGCAAAGATGCTCCGTATTATCCTGTTGCGTCTTCAACCCTTGGCAGTCATGAAACACTGAATCTGCAAATATTGAACACTTTTTCCAGAGTAAAGATAATGATCTACATTCTACGTTTGACCTATTGAAGGTTAATGTTCGCCATTCACTTAACTTCATTTGTGACACTAAGCGTCTTGGAGACACGTTTTCAAAATCTCAGTCTTTCTCCACAAAAAAACATTTTTTCGAATATGATTGCCTATATGATTTGAATAAATTATCTTTGGTATCAAGGTATCATTAAAATGTCTTTTTTGTGTATATAAATCATGTATTTTGCTGTACTTTTGTTAATGTGTAAGTTATTATAACACCATAGCTCATTTAAAATCAAGTTTATTATTTATTTCCTTCACATAAAGCATTTAAGCATTTTTTTATATTTTTTAAAACTGTAATGTTTTACTCTGATTTAAACTCATCTAGCAGTTAAATTATTTGACTCATCTGAGAGATAAATAATAATAAAAAAAATCTTTATCTTGCTTCGGACAAAAGCAATAATGCTTTCAGCCCAAATTGAAACCTGAAAGTGCATTTTCCAACACAAGTCAAAAACTTGGACTAAACCAATTTAACAGGCTTTAGCCTTTACTATTGATTGTCGGTGTATTTAATAAGATAACCATCACCAATCATCATGGCCGCACGGCTCTCCGGAAGAATTTAGAAACCCAGTTTGCAGCTGCGACTGTTCAACAAAACAAAAAATCCGTTTGGCTTTTTCAATAATGACCCTGTTTGAATGTGTAACCCTGACCCACCTCATGCAGAGCCTTAAACAAATTATGACAGGAGATCGTCCTCACCAGTCGACCTCTGCTGACCTCTTAAATTGCTGATATTTATTACAGCCCGTCCTCTGGATCATCCTGTGACTGCACTGTCTGATTTCCATGCGAGTGTGTGTGTGTGTGAAAGAGAGAGAGAGAAAGAGGGAGAGAGAGAGAGAGAGTAAATTCTTTGCTCCAAGCAGCCAGGCAGCTGGTCATAAACGCCACTGCTTTAAGACGTCCACATAAAGAAAAGAAGTGCAACAGCCTCTCCATCCTTTCCCATTCTAACCCCCCACCCAACACACACACACACGCATGCATGCACACACACCATCCCTCCTCCCTCTCTGCTCCTGATCCTGAGAGATGTTATCGCTCCATTTAAGAAAGGAACAAACAAGATTATACTGTAAGTTATTCTCGATTATGGCCACAAATCTGGTGCCAGAAAGCAGGCAGCCGGAGGAGGGCGGAGGAGTGAAAGATGATAAAGTACACTGACTCGCTTTCCTTTGCCTCCTCTTATCTGCCACACAAACTGATTTATAGGATAAAGAAGGAGCAGCTTTTGTGGACGGTATATCTTTCAGAAAGCTAGTCCTGTGATGAGGAGGGGGGAAAAAGGAAAAAAAAGAAATGTGACAGAGACATATGTTTCTAACAGCTTGTTGGCTTTTTGCTGTTTTAATATGTGTGTGTGTTTCTGAGTATGACATAATCCCTCACACACAGGGGCAGTGATGTGGCGAGACATTTCTTACACCCCAACCTGACTGGAAGAAGGAAAAAAAAAAAACATTGAATAAAAATGTCACCTCCTCAGATTGTAAACCGAAGTCTCTCCGTCACCCCGAGCCGCGGGGCGACGCGGCGCTTTACGTCCACGCCGCCTCACCCCCTGACTGCGGCTCGTCACGAAAACGACGGAGCGGAAAAATAAATACGACACCTAGAAGTCTATCCGTGTCATACAGTAGAGCGAAGAGCGGGGCTAAAGGGGGAGAGGGGATTTGGTTTGGCGGGCTTTTTTTTTTTTTCTTGCCTCCCGTCACCTCGGCAGCTACAACCATCAATTTAGCTCTGTGGTGGCCAGTCAGCGCCTCTCCATCCCAGCTGTGTTTGACACTATTTATCTGCTCTACTGAAGCAGATCATTTTTGATTATTAACCTCCCACCCTCCTCCGTCTCCTCCACCCCACCAACACAAAAAAAAAAAAAAATGTGGAGGGGGAAATAAAGCTTTCCCTGAAAAGGTCGGGGCACAAAATGACAACATCATATGTGGCAATCATGCACTTGACTGTTACAGCTGAAGAGCCACTCCATCAAATCCTGCTTTTCACAGCAAACACACACCAACACACACAGAGTGAGAGCCCTGGTCCCTCGGCGTATTTCCT